TACCTTGAGTCCTGCCCAGGAGGTGCTGCTTCACTGTACCTTCTGATATGATGTACCTGAGCGTTTACATGGCAAAACCTTACTATAAGTTCATTCCCCTTTTATGTATAATATTACAATAAATTCATTTTCTTTTCCTTCCAAAGTAGAGCCAAAGCATTATATCGATCTTTTAAAAATTATGTGGATAAATGAATTATATTAAGACTCCCTTTTTAGGATAGCAAATTGTTTACTGGTTCTGATAAAGTGAAGATCTACTGGGCTGTGCTGAAGAAGAGGGTGAGATAATCATTTTCTACCATGTTCTCAGTACTCATCCTCAGGATATTATTCCTCCTTACCTGTCCTTTTGGTTCCCCACCAAAATAACAGAATAACGGCGCGGCCCATCAGTTTGGCCTTTCAGAGTCTGGCCCTGCCTGCCTTCTAGCCTCAGCTCTTGCCCTTGCTCCAGCCCTTACTTGTAAGAATTTTTCTGCCTGTAATGCTTTTTGCCCCCACCCCTTTCAGCTTTTCTCCCATTCACTGGTCACCAGCTCCCTCTGGACCTAGCCCGAGCTCTTCCTTTTCTGTGAGATGGGAAGTGACTCTCATCGTCTCTCTGTCAGATGTCTCTCCCTATACCCGTGCTATGAAACTTTTCATTTATTTTCCAACACATGTCATTCTGGCTCATGTACCTACAATATTTTTGATGAAAAGACCCTCTCCCCCTTTTTTGCTGTTTTTAACAATAACAAACTTATGGAAAAGTCCTGAGTACAACAGAAAGGGCTTTTTTTCCTGTCCTATTTGAGACCTATTCCTAAAATAATACCCAGAATCCCTAAACAATTTAGTGTGTATTTTTAAAAAGAACATTATATGACAGTCATAAAAATCAGAAAATTCCGGTTGGGGATGTGGAACCCTTTAATGGAAGAGCACTTACCTAACGTGTGAGGCCCTGGCTTCCATCCCCAGCACCATTCCAAAAATCAGAAAATTGGTGTTCATTTTGATACAACGCAACTATAACTCTTGTATTTCTCTTGCTCAAGTTTTTTTTTTAACATAATAAACTTCAGTGTCGATGTTGCATTTATGTCATGTCTCTTCAGTCTGCTCCTGTTCTTCAGTGTTCCCTAGACCTCTATGAACATGACAGTTAGACTCTCATTTTAGAGAATGTCCCTCAGTTCGGGTTTATCTGCCATTTCCTCCGGATGCACTTCTGCTACTTTGGCAGGAACGTGATACGCATGATTCTGTGTTCTTCTGTTGTACTGGCTCAGGTAGCACAGCCTTTCAGTTTGTTCCACTTCTGGAGTAAGTTAGTGTCCTGAGGCTTCTTTCTTTTTCCTTTCATTTGTGAAGAAAGAACTTGGAAACTATGTGAGTAACTCCATCCCTCATCAAACTTCGGATTCATTTCTTTTACATCAGAATTGGCTGTTGGGTTCTTGTTTTAGTGTATGTAACTTCTTTCTATTGTTATTTGTTTTACCATTCAAATTGTCATTGACTTTGTCAGTGGGAACCCCTCCTTAGCAGCTTTTGTGTCCTCTTGATATGCGCAGGTCATGTGTTGAGCACAAAGCATTTCCCAGCCCCCACCTTCCAACCTGACATTTCTTCATGTGCCTTGGTTCCTTTTAGTGGAGAACGGTATTTAGAAACTAAGCTCTGGGCACTAAGTGTGCTCCTTATAATTGAAGTATCTCTGCTTCCAGGCCTTCGCCGTGGTTAAACCTAGAGAATATATTTATGCATATAATCTCTATGTGCATATTTGTATTTCTCTTTCCTTTATCCCTGTCTGCCTACCTATTGAGTGAACACCCTGATTTCACATTAGAGGCCATGTGGGGAGGAGTCCTGCTGTACTACCTGAGCTCTTCTAGGTTTAGGACTTTAGTTGGCTTCACTGAGGAGAAAACCTCTTCATCTGACTGTCAGGAGTAAAGGGAGAGAAGGCCTCTCCTAAGTCAGGGTTGGTGAGAACAGCATGGATCCAGGCTGCTGCCTGAGAAGAGATCACTCCTCTCTGGGCTTTCCCCTCTCTGCTGGTGGCGTCCTGACCCAATGCTCCATTTCAGTGTTCCTATTCTATCCAAAAGTTTAAGTGCTTGGGAATGGTTCCCAGATCCCCCTCCCCCAACATTTACCCTCCGTTGTCTACATGCCTCTCCTCACAGCTCATACAGTGGCCTTCTTGAATGCAGGGACTCCTTGTCATTCTGCCCCCAGCTTTAGACTGAACCCAGTGCATGAATGAAGATGCAAGCGGTTGTATGAAGGTAGCAAGCACAGCAACAGCAAAGAGCTTTGGGCTTTTTAGGTGGCCAGGGAGGAGCAGCTTAATGGAGTGTTTACTTCCTGTCTCTGACGGGGAAGTATTGTTGACTCACTGATGACAGATATACACAAAATGGAGTGGAGGCTCCATATCCTCACCTGCAGCCTCCAGGCAGCACAGGCTGTGGTGCCAGCACTAATGAAGCAGGCCCGGAAACGCCACAGGACGAAACTCAGCTGTGAACCCTGGCCTCCCAGCCGGGAAACAGGGGCCCTTTGAAGAAGAAGACAGCTGGGTTTTGGTTTCAGACCTTAACACTGCCATCGCTAGATACTCATCTGTCAACGCACAGGGGACAACATGTGGAGAACAGTTGTGTCCGGTCAGGCTGAAGGGGAAAGAAATGGCCGGTTTCCAGGGTAGCTGTAAAACCGCTCCAGCCAGTAGTTCTGCCTAGTGCAGCCAAAAAGAATTGATTTGGTGAGGTGGGGGCTGCGTGTGAGAAGCTGAGCTGTCTGCTGTGGGCCAGGTGGTCATCTTCCTTGCCATGTCACCTTCCATCAGCTCACAGCAAGTGAGAAAGTCGAGGCTGGAGGCTCTGTGCTGAAGTCGTGAGAGTCAGAATTTAGTTGTCTGCAACTGTTTCGACATACTATGCTGTGGACCTGCACCTTCGGCAAAGCCAACCTGCCCTACCACACTTCATCCAGGTTTCCTCACGGGAACTCAGCTTCCCTTTCATTTACTTGAGGCCAGTATTTCCTCTTCTTGGCCTTTTCCCTCTCTGCTGCCTCCCAGTTGCTGACTTTAACTAGTGGTATTTTCCTCTCAGGAAAAGAAAGATTTGTAACCCTTGGTTGAATTTGTTTACTAAGAGTCCTCTAATCTGTGCAGGAGTTTTCTTCTGAGGGGATTTCTTGTTATACTCTAATGGCTTTTAACTGGCCGAGGTTTATTTAGCAGAAGAGGAAGGGAGACGATATCTCCTGCCTAATCCCTCTTGAATGTTTACATTTCTCTGCAGTCACAGAGTCCGCCAGTGGAGAGTGCAGCAGCCATTTGCTCTGGAACAGTCCATATGTGGCTGCCAGAGCTGATGGAAACATATTAACATAAGTGATAATACTGTCATAGGAGTGAAAAGTTAAGTTGCTTATCAGTGTATTTTGATAAGCTACTTAAATTTTACAGTAGCATGTGCTGGCTTCAGACAGACGTCACCGATAGGGGATTGTGCACTTTATCTGTCCTCTCTATTGCCTCTCACTTCATTCATTACCCTCAGCAGTGCAGCCAGTAATCTGCACGGGATGCTGATTCCCTCTCCGGGCAGGATGTCACATGTGCTCTCTGCCTTGGGTAGAGCTCTCTATCAGTAATGGACGCCATTAGCTCAGCAGGACAGACACGAGCATGGAACAAGTGCTTAGTATGATGCTTCTCACATGCCTTTTCTGTGTAGCTTTGGAAAAGTTCCTTAGAAAAAATCATGCTACTTAAAGCAAGTGGAAAAACTTTTTTGGAGCAGAGATGCTTTTCAGTCATCTTCCATAGCACAGAAGTGACTTTGCCCTTGGTCTTTGTCTAGTTGTGTTTGTCCAGTAAACACTTACCATTGACTGTGCGCCAGGCTCCGTTCTTGACACTGGGAAACAAAGAGAAGGAAAGTGTGCTCCTTCCTCTCTGCACACAGTCTGTGAAGAAGACAGGAGCATCCTTGAGTACTATATCATGTATGGGATGTTGTACTAGGAATATGTGTGTGATCAAGGGAGTACAGAAAAGGCGGAGTTAGGGCATGTGAGGCAGAGACAGGGAAGAGGTGGGGTCCTGTTAGGATGAGCAGAAATCAACTAGACTAGACCGCAAAGGTCTGAGAGAGAAAAGGGCCAAGGCACGCTAGCTCAAGCAGGCTAGAGGATGTCTGATGTTCCTGGAATGAGACTGCCATGAGACGAGCAGGAACATGACCAAGCAGAAAGAGACAACCAGAGACGTAGTCAAGGACCTGACAAGAAAGATCCTTGAAAACCATCCTAGGTGCCGACTGCTAGATGGAACACCATTGCAGGAATTTAATCCAGTATGTAAAGCAGATTTGCATTTTAGAAATGCCAAAGAGTCACACAAAGGGTGGCCTTAAACAGTTAGGTCAACAGCCAGGCCATCTTGCAAGTCTTGAGAAGCAGTGGTCAGGACCTGGTGCAGGGCAGTGGGCATAAAGAGTTAATCATGTTGCAGCCAGTATAGAGTAGGTGCATTAGAGGTACAAGGAGGTACAAGATCTGGTGTACCAACAGGAGTGGTTTGGGGTGCATGAGGCCTGTGGGACACCTTGCAGATACCAGCAGCTATTTGTGTTCAGTCATGAGAATTGGATAGATCCTGTTCTGGGGATGGTGGGTATGGTTCAGGAGGCCTGAGGACCACTCAGAGATGGGCCTGATTGCCGAGTTGGCTTTGAATTCCTTCCTGTGAACCTGTCTAGCTTTGAGGCATGGGAATAATTTATAACGGACATTCACTCCTCTGACTTGCACAGGCAGTTTTTTAAAAATCCTAGAAATAATTAGCATTTTGCCCATCTGTGATTTCAGCAGTCTTACGACAGGAAGACTCTTCAGGATATAGAGAAAAACCCCAGTGTATCAGTCTTCAGTTGGGTCCTGGTTCTGTTTTTTGACTTGCATACTAATATTTCTGTTTCTTCTTCCCTCAGCTATCTCCCGTGGTTCGAGGTATTTTATAAAATACTTAACATCTTGGCAGATTACACAACAAAAAGACAGGTATTTGCCTTTTTAAAAAATAATTCCTTTTAACAAGTAAACTTTAATTTGTATGATTTTGAAAGCAATACATGTGTTATATTTCACTAAAACATTTACCAAAAAGGAATACACTCATTATATATAGTGGGAAATTCAGAAAATATGGGAAGGAAAAGAAAATCACCCTTAATCTAATCTGACCCAACTTTTTTCCCTAAAATAAGTACTGCTAGTATTGGGGTTGTTTTCTTCTGTATTTTTTTCTTTGAGTTAAAGAAATAATAGACCCTTAGCATTTATAGAATTAATATTCACAAATGTTTAATATGCCCAAGCAGCCCTGAAAGCTCTTGACGTGAATGAAATTATAATTTTGCTGAGGTGCTGATTTGAATTGTTCATGTCATGCTGCAGGTTTAGCGTTTGTAAGTGATAAACTTAATGCCAGTTAAGTGACAGTCCAGCTGCCCAAGTTCCCATTTTGATAAAACTTTGTGGTGCTTTCACAGTAATTTCTCTATAAGTGTCTGAAAATTACTTAAAAAGTTCAGCTGTACCTAGTTGTACTTTTGGAAGAAATGGTATACTAAGATCTCATCCCTGGACAATAGAGGTGAATTGGACTATATTGAGATTTTGTGGCCCATATATTCAGGTACTATTATAACAATCATTTCTCTCATGCTGTTAAAAAATGTAAGCATTTATTGTGGCTGCAAAACATTATATCATGTACCTAGACTTACAGAAATAGTCTGCTCTTACTGGACATTTTAATTATGTGGGATTTTTTCATGATTATGAAAAGTACAGCCTTTAGCATGTTTGAGCATGAAGCATTTTCTTTATTTTGGATTATTTCCTTACAGGAAAGAATCTACTGTTATGCACTGCTTCTCATTTCATTGGTCCCAGACCTTTTTAATTCTATGGCAAATAATATTCTGAGATAGCTGTATTTCCTGAAACGCATTTTGGGAAATGCCATTTGGGAAGAAAGGTGGAAATTGTATAGATAATGTATAAATCTTTCTTTAAGTTAGATTTACTCCCAGTTAGGTCACAGTAAAAGAAAGGAGATGTAATAGAAATGGAAATGGTTCTCTTGATCAGTATACTCATTCTGAAAGAAGTTTAGGTGTCTGCAAGTCTGTCATTAAAAAGTGATTTACTTTTTGATAGATGAGTTAGGAGGCTGCCTTGGGTCTGGATATTGATTTTTTTATTTACAGTTATCTTTAATCAGACATACAGATTTTCACTAAAATTTGAAAAATATCTTTAATAAATAAAATTATATAACATATAGCCTCTTAACAGTTTTTGAATTGGAGATTGATTCACAGTTTTTGAAAAACAACAGTAGAACTTAGTATACTTTTTTTTTTTTCAGGAAACATTGGATAGATACAACATAGGCATAGGGGAGACCAGATTATGACCCTGTAAAATGAGTCTGCCTTTCCTCTAGGCCATTCCTCCAGCAAGGCCTCTGCCTCTTGGTGTGTTAGAGACTGCTTTTGTCAGTTGGAACTTATTTCTCCTGAAGCCATGATTCTTTTTATGAAGTTTCTTCTGGTTGCAGGAGTTATGATGCACATGGTAGAGAATTTGTCTGCATTTGGCTAGTTTGCAAGGTGTTGGCCACCATATTAGAATAAGAGGAAGGAGTTTGCATTAGAAGAAGAAAGAAAAAGAAAGAAAGAAAGAAAGAAAGAAAGAAAGAAAGAAAGAAAGAAAGAAAGAAAGAAAGAAAAGAAATAAAGAAGAAAGAAAGCAAGCCAGAATCACCCTGCTCCAAATCCCTAAACTTTTCCCATCCACACATCTTTGGGCAAGTTGGGTAAGATAGGTTTCTCCTTTGCAGTGTTTGTGTATATGTGTGTATGTGTGTGACCATGGCAGCTCTGCAAGGAGTGTCCTAGCCACAGCCTGATTACCATTCCCCGAATGGGACCCTGAGGGCATCGGTGTAGAAGGGCTAGTAAGACAAGGAGGTGTCTGAGCTGAACAGCAGCCTGTTCAGGGTGTGAGTGCCCAGATCCTGATTTCCGAATACCATTCTCCACTAAAAGGAACCAGGGCTCCTTGAGGAAAGGGCTGGCTCCAGTGTTGGAGCAGGGAGAATATAGGATGAGCCTAAAATGTCTTTTGTACCAAGAAGTAAGGAAGTGCTCAAGACATGATAGGAACATACCAGAAGGACAAAAACAAATCTGAAGGGCCAACGGATGCCACTGGTCCTATCTGGTAGCATAAAGACAAGTCATGATAGCAAAGGGTTATAGCCGACTAAGTAAGCCAGAAACCAGATGCCCAGTATCATATAAATAGCAAATGAATAAATTAAAAATTTGTGGAATGCAACATTTACATTATCACTCTACAAAATATTTAGTAAATACAAAGGTTGTCATCTCACAGTAGAAAACCAGACGAATTAAGTGATGAAAGCAAATATCAATAAAGAAACAAATTGGAATTTTATTCATGAAAAATACCAGACAATTGAGAATCTACAAAATGGGTGAGTTCATGTCAAGGTTGTACACATCTAGGAAAGATGGAGGGGCTATTCCAGACAGAAGACAACAAGAGAGAACAGGATCTAAAGATTAGATGGTAATGCTGCATGAAGGTTAATTTTCTGATCATGATAATTATCTGCGCTTATGTAGGGGAACATCTTGTTTGTATCTGTGAATGAGGGGCGTAATGTTAGCAACTTATTCTCAGACAGTTCAGGAAATGAAAAGCTTTTTATACCATTTCTACAACTATTCTGTAAATTTTAGACTGTTTCAGAGCAAAACAAAATGCATATGCCCACACCTATAAACTCATGTCTTCTGTGAGAAACTTGATTGTCAGTGTTCAGATGGAAACAAGCTTGTAGTCCAGATTCATCTTCTTTGTTCCTTTCCTTAAGTTCACTTCCAAATGCAAAGAGGATTCTGGGATTGAACACAATAAACCTGCATTTTACCCCAGGCTGTGCAGCTTAGTGTCTGATGTAAGACATGTTGCTTTACTTTTCAGGGCCTCAGTCTTCATATCTGTGAAGAGGGGTGGTTGGGAGGATCAAATACATAACAAATAGATACCAGTGTAAACTTATTACTATTATATTAACAGAAAGAATTCTACCAGGTGGGAGAAATGCCTTTTGAATCATTCTAAGAGCAGTGTTCTTTTGAGCATTTTAAAGGCAAATCTGTTTTCAATTGAATAATTTGTACTGCTTTGTATGTCATTCTGTTGCTCAGTTTCACTAATTAAAATGCACAGCCACCATCCTATATTGTATGCTGGTATACTTAGTTCATTTCTAACTTTCCATAATTGGAGGCTGCCATGTGTACCACTCAATAAAATTAATTGAGGGTAATGATGATGAAGACAAGATCCACAGTGCCATCGTTATTTCTCCTAGCCACCCCCGCCCTGGAAGCTCAGATTGTTTGCATTTAACAGTTGTTGCTATGGAGTTGAAGGGATAGATTTACTGAGAGCTTATGGTATATGATCCATAAAAGGTGGTCATGGTAGGTGTCTCACTGAGCAGAAAATGTCAAACTCAATGTGGGAGGATCTGTTTGGCTCTTACGTTTGAGCCATACACAGTGTCTTTGGTCCAACCCTACTTGAATATCAAGCTATTCCTATAACGGGGCTAGCGTTGACCACCATCTCACTCATCCAGCCAAACTCACTGTGTGCCCGGACCTCATAAGGGCTCAGTGTTGTGTTCTGATTGAGGCCTACTATTTCTTTCAGGAGAGTCAGTGGAATGAACTTCTTGAAACTCTGCACAGACTTCCCATCCCTGACCCAGGCGTGTCTGTCCATCTCAGCGTGGTAAGTGGGGCAGAAGAGTAGCCATCCTGAGAAAGCATTTCGTTATGAACAGTCAGAGGGAGCTGGCCAAATGGGATCATCTTGGTTATCTGCACCTCCTCCCTCTCCTACCTTGAATACTCTGAGAACTGTGGGCGTAAGGCAGACAGGGGGAACTTCTTCCTTGCCCTAAGACTCCAGGAGAAATGGATGATCCCCAAATGCCCCAAGGCTGTTTTCTGGCCCTCACCCGTTCACCTGCACCTTCTTGAACCCAGATGCTAGGGAGAAATAGGATGGTTGGCCCTGCCTGCCTTCTTAGCCCCCGTCCTGGACTCCCTGGTCACCTTTTGCCCTTGGTGCTGCTGCGCATCCCCCACTGCTGAAGCCCGTCCTGCACCCGCAGCCTTCAGTGTTGTCTCTCCCTATTTGCCAGGTCTTGCGTACACATCCTTCAGGATCAACCCTCATTTTCTTTCCACAGAAATCTTCCCTTGACCCTGCAGACTTAGCTAAAGCTTCTCCTGAGTTGCTCCAAGTACCTTTTACACTTCGTAGGAATTAGTTTTACCACATTAGAATGATTTGCTGGACTGAATGTCCCTTCAGTACAGAGAGTGAGAGTGCTTAACATGGTTTCTGCTGTACAGTAGTAACCATTTCTTTGAATGCTTCTAAATATGTGCTGCATCTTCTGCAGTGTGCCAGGGTGCAATTCCTCTGTACTACCTATTGGGAGATTGGTTGCCTGTTTTGCCAGTGACCTGGGTAATCTTAATCAAGACCTTTAACTTTGTGAGCCTTAATCTCCTCATCTGTTAGATAAGGCATTAGAAGATGTTCAGGAGATCTTTTCTGTATTTCAGTTACTGGAATTTTCTTAATGCCCTAGGTTAAAGGCTTGTCATTACCTTCATCAGAATTCTCAGGTCGACAGACAGCCTTTCCAGGTATCCATGATTATCCAGGAGTTATTTCTCTTAGGTTGTGGGACCTGAAAGTTTTCTCTTTCAGCTTTATTAGAACCAGGTACAGTGTTGGTGTTCAGTGGTTAGGAAAATATATACCCAGTGAGGAAAATTAATATTTCTTATAGGTTTCTCCAGATGATAAAATTGAAAGCCATATTGCTACCAGTAACTAATAACAGATCTATTATTTTATTTTTAACTTACACCAAATATATATCTCTCACGTTCAAAACAGTTCCACAAAACGGATACCACCATTCTTATCTCATAGATGAAAGGTTTAGAAAGGAAAAGATACTTTCTCATGCCAAGTCATATGGTTAAGAAATGATAACATTTGAGTTTTTCAACCCAGGGCTGGCTTCAAAGCGATTTGGATTTTCATGATAACATGTGTATTGAAAGAAGGGAAAGAGGGAGAAAAGGAGAGAAGGAGGAAAGGAAGGAAGGATAGAAGGAAGGAATTTATAGAGGTTTTTGTGCATTTTAATAGAGCAGGGGAGGAAAGAAACCTTGCTACAAAAATTCCTGCAGGCAAGGGGCTTCTGTTTAGAAAAGAACAAATGAGCTTTAGTCCTACCGTAGACCTCACTAAAGCTAAGCAATCCTGCCTTTGTCTCTGTCTCTTTCCCTAAGCAGCTTGATCTCACTGCTTCAATCTGTAATGACATCCGACAGGTAGCTGTAGAGGAGCCGACTGGGTCACCAGCTGCCGGAGAGGAAGGGCCACTCCTTCCCCGAATGGTTGCACAGGCAGTCTGCTGCCAGGTCTCAAGGACAAGCCAGCTTGGGCAAGAGGAACTGTTGGGGTGTGCAGCTGTTTCATGCTAGTGGTTTCTAGGAATGTTTCTGACCTCCCCTAGTCTCCAGCATTTCATGGGCAATGGAGCAAGACAGAATCTCAAAGGACAGCCCCTGGGACTACTTGTGCTGGAATTGCGTTGGCTCGCTATTTACAATCCATTACATCTGTAAAGGCAACTTTTTTTTCCCCTTTTCACTATGAATTCTCTCCAGAGTTCCACTCTGATTTTGAAGGCTAGTCTCATCTAGATTATAAATCCCAAAATGTTGGTAAAATGTCAGTCCTGGACTTAGTATCTTTAGTCATTCTATAAAAGAGCATTTTTATGTGTCTGATATATATGATTGAGAAAAATAGAAATGCAAGCTAGTAGTTGAGAGCAAATAATAATTTTAAGATACCATTTATTAAATAGTAGGCACTGCATATAGATAATGTTTATTCCTCACAGCTTATTTTGAAGTAGACAGTTTAGTTCCTACTCACAGATTCCGAAACAGAGGTTCTGTGTTATTAAGTAAAGTTGCCTGAGCTCACATAGCTATTAAGTGGCTGTCGCTTGAGCCAGTTCTTTCTCTGACTGTGTCAAACCCTTAACTGATGACTCCATCACGGTGTGGACATCTGGTACTGTTTCCAGAAGCTCTGTTTTAGGAATGTGGTATGAAGGTGGCATCTCATGGAGCCAATTTGAGCCTTGTGCTTTACTTTTCCTATTTTAATCCTCATTGTTCAATTAATTAGTTTCCTTGCTGTGCCATCTACTAGATTTCATAGGTACTATTTTGACATACACAGACTTTGGAATAGTACATTGCAGTTTCTTTTAGAAATATTTTAAATTTTTTTTACTTTTTTATTATTTTAACTCAAGTTCTTTTAGCTATAATTTACACATAAAAAGCAAATATAATAGTCTGTTATACTGGACAGAGCATAGTTCTCATCATACAAACCTGGTTTCAGTCCTAGTTTTGCCACATAGGAGCTCTGTGACCTTTGAATATTTTACCTCTCTGAACATTAATTTATCCATTTGTAATATAATGCTATGATATCATAATTTATTATGGAGATTAGAGATAATATATGTGAAGTCTTCCATGTATAGCAAGTGTTCCATAAACTTCTGTTGAATATTAGACAGGCATCTCATACTATTTATTGTTACTGTCATTGTTACAAGGCCTCCTAAGGCCTTTCATTTTTCGAGGCTTGTACATTCATTCTTCTGGGGACCTACTTATTTTGCCATTACGCAGAAATTGTGGGTAGGATAGGACATCCTAAAATGACACTTGGGGGTCCAGGTGTACACTTAGGCTATGACTAACTAAGCTGACCTTCTCTGTATGTGACCTCTCCTGGCCTTGCATAATCCTGTCTTTAATTGGCCATCACCAGGCTTTTTCCAGTCCTGCTTGCCATTATCCTGTGAGTCTTTAACAGTGGCAAAAGAGGTGTCATCAGTTGAACCTGTTGTCATTTAAACTCAAGGACACATGCTTGATGTTTGCATGGAAACGCCTCCTTCAGAGTCTTTGAAGAGGCCAATTTTTGACTCCACCAAGTCTCCAGCTCCCTCCACTGGCAATCCCCCTGGAAGTTAGGCTTGTTCCAGAGTGTGCTCCATAGAGAGGCTCTTGTTGTAAACATTTGTAGTGCTCTAGGTGCAGTGATCCTTCAACTGCAGGTGTTCTTCATATCACTTGGGCAGAGTTTGGCCACAGTTTATAGATGGATATAATCTCAGATTCTGAAAGGAAGTGGCAGCTCTGGCTGACAAAGACCATCACTGGGTGAATTTATTGCTGTTTGGTCCCCAGAGCCCACTTGCAGTGCTGAACGATAAGTTGTGAAACGTACAGCTTTCATGTGTTCAGAAGCCTGAAAGTATCATAAGGAAATTTAGCCTTTAACCTCTTTAAATTCTTCATTTGCCCCCCTTGAAGAAGTTCATCTCTCATAGAAAAGAATTTCATCTAAAAGATGGATGAGTTAATGCAGCTGGTTTGATCCTGCGTTGTCCTAAGAAAATATTCCATGGATAATTTCATGGCAACTCTGTTCTCTTCATCTGAGTAAGGGAGTATCTTCAGATCTTGTGTCTGGATTTTGAGTAATATGCTTGCTATACCTTCTTACAAAAAATATACAGCTTGTGCTTTTCTTTTCCAGCATTCTTACTTTACTGTGCCTGATACCAGAGAACTTCCCAGCATACCTGAGAACGTGAGTACTTAGAAAGGAAATAGTAAATGTTTTATCTTCTGTTTCTACATCTTTTTTTTAAATAAAAGGATACATTTGAAAATATAAAAACCATAATTTTTAAACAGTATATTATAAAAACAAATAGAGAAAGAAAAATATAGAAGCAATAAAATGAAACTATCTGTACAGAGAATATAAAGACAAGGAAAAGATGTTGTTCTTATTTCTCAAAGGTAATCACCTATTAATCTATTGATGTCTCATTGCCAGTTTTTTCATATATATGTTTTTACATAGTTATATTTGCCTATTACAGAAGCATTTTTTCTGTTTTTATTTATAAGAATCATTTTTATTCACTACATAATATTCTATTTGCTATGTAATTTACTTAGGCATTTACTCACTATTGTACACTTAGGCTTTTTCTCATTTCTGCTATAAATAAAACGTTTCTATATAAGGAAATTTTTACGTAAGTATTTAATTAGGTAGATTTACTCAAGTAGAATTATACTTCTACTTCTTATACCTCTGTATTCAATTTTCAGGAAATAAATAAACTATTAGTGGGTAAAACATATCTCCTCTCCTCACTTCCTAACGGCTTAGGGGCAGTAGACTAGTGTGAGGAAAGCAAAAGGTTCATATTTGCCCCTGAAGACTACATGACGTGTCCCATCTTCTGGCATATTTTTAAAATATTTTAATGTGATTATAAATATTACTGTGTGGAATCAAATATAAAATAGCTACCACCAAAGTACTTGGTTAATTTTTAAAATTTTGGTAAAATATACGTAACATAAAATTTACTGTCTTAACATATTGAGTGTGCAATTCAGTGGTTTTAAGAACAATCATATTGTTGTTCAGTCACTCTCCAGAACTCTTTTTATCTTGCACAACTGAAGCTCTGTACCAAATGAATGTCTCTCTGTTCTCCCCTTTGCCAGTCTGTGGCAACCGTCATTCTACTTTCTGTCTGAATTTACTACTTTAAGTACCTCATTTAAGTGGAATAGTAAAATATTTGTCTTCGCTTAGCATAATGTCTTCAAAATTTATCCACATCGTAGTGTGTGTTAGAATATACTTCCTTATTAAGACTCAATAGTATTCCCTTGTATGTGTACACTCACATTTTGGTTATCTGTTCATTCTTCAATGGACATGGGTTGTTTCCACCTTCTGACTGTACAGCTTTGAACATTGGTATATAATTATCTGAGTTCCTACTTTCAATTCTTTTGAGTGTATATTTGATTTTATTTTTAAAGTCCTAGAATAAATGATGGTTTTTTTGTAACTACTGTAGACTCACATTAAGAAAATTTTTCTGAGTTTCATTTATATAGCAGAAAGCTTAGAAATGTCAAGTAGTCAAATGTAATTAATGAAGTTAGGCTGTAGTATTGTGATCAGCTAACAGTCTTAATAAATTGGATTGTCAAGCATATTCATAAATTTTATTATCTATATGATGAGACTGTGGTAGAAAATGTTGCTGAATTTATATTTGACTTTAAGTATTAAGAAAATTTAGACCAAAGTTCCCATTGCAATAACAATAGCCAGTGTTCGTTGCTTGTCAGCTGATGTACTCAGTGCTTTGTCTCCATTTTCTCAGTTACCTCTTTTAACAAGCTTAGGTGGTAACTACTGTAATTAGTTTCATTTTATATCAGAAATGGAAGCCCTGAGAATTTAAGTAGCATATTCAAGGACCTACAATGAAGAAGTGCTGGAATCAAAGTTCAAATGCAGTCTGATTTTCACGTCTGAACACTATACTTTGAGCCTACGATATTTAGTTTTCATTTCTCAAAATTTTCCATTGAAATGATAAAAGATGTATAAAATTAAGGAGAAAAATGTTTCCATAATGGCAGAGTGAACCACTGTGAACTAGAAAATTGGGAAATTTCTGCAGTATAGAGGTGATGATCACTAATGTTTTGCAGTCAGTTCAGTATAGACAATGGAGGAACTCAAAAAGAGATGGGAAAGAAAATCCTGAAAGAAGACCAGAAACAGAGGGAAAGGGTTATTAAAAGACCAAATAGCTAAAGGTTATTAAAGCATAATTTTCAAATGTCATGGAACTTTTATAAAAATTTATCATACACTGTATTGTAAAATTTTCAAAATAGAATATATGTTAGAAACCACAGGTCACTATTTTTTATTATGGTGAAATAAAACTAAAATCAATAAATTAAAGGTTTAAAAATGAAACAATCATCTACTCAAAATGGCAACTGAATCATAGAGATTAAGATACTAAAATTGGATATTGATTAGAAATTAATAACAAGAACACTGAAGAACAAGTATAATCTCCAGCATCACCAGATAAACCTAGCAAAAGAAGCTAGCAAAAGAATAGCAATAAAAAAGCCAAAACTAGAGAAAGAAATTGTAATTTACCTTATTAGTAAATTTTGCTAAAGGAAAATTGAAAATCAAAACTTTTTAAGAACTAGTTTTGAAAAAATAAAAATCATCTTAAACTTATCTAATAAACTTGAAAATAGTGAAAAAATGAAATTTTCTAGGAAGACATAAATGACTGAAGTTAAACCTAAAATATAGATAATATGAATACAGAATAATAATGTGGAATGATTAATAAAATTCTGTTGCTATTTCCACCCTTCCCCCTGCAGAAATAGCAGGGTTTGGTGGGAAGATAGGCATGTTCAGGAAACATAACTGTTACTTAAATGGTTATAATTCATAGAAAATTGTGTGTGTGTGTGTGTGTGTGTGTGTGTGTAATGATACAAAAAACAAAAGGAAAGCACTTGGAATTCCCATTTCAGGGAAGGTCATGTTCTGAGTTTTTCTTTCTTTTGTTTTTATGATTATAGTAGTTTCCAAACTGTGCTTCCAGGAGCCCTGAAGATACTTTGGGGTCCCTGGAAGGCCTGAGGGAGATAGAAGCTGAGACTCGACTCCTGTTTTATTTAGGGCGGATGAATTCCCAGTTTGCATTGGAGTTCGGGTAATATTTTGTTTGAGACAAAAAGGTTCTTTTGATTTTCTTTAAAGTTTAGGAGCTACATATTTTTTAAAACATGCCATTGGGAATCATATCAAGTACATTCATCTGCTTTTTCTCATAACATTGTATTATGAATATTTATCTGTAATTAAAAATTCTTCACGAAGATCTTTATTGGGTAAAATTAATACTGAAGTGCATGTTAAGAAAGGAAAGAAAAGGAAGGAAGGAAAGAAAGAGATAAGGAAGGAAGGAAGAAAAAGAAAGAAAAGGAAAGAAAGAAAGAAAAGAAAGAAAGAAGGAAGAAAGGAAGAAAGAAAAAGAAAGGCCCCTATTATCACCATCCCTCTGATCCCATTCTCCCTGCAGTTTGATGAGCATCCCTCTAGGCCTTTGTGTATGAATTCACAGTGGTATATGGGTTGTGCACTCTTTTTAAACATAAATGTGATACTATTCATATTGTTTAGCACTTTTTTGGTTTAGTATTCTAAAAACTGTTCATATCTACTTTATTAGTGTTGTTTTGTTTTGTTGCAGTTTGGTATCAGACCTCGGGCTTCACACATGCTGGGCAACACTCTATCACTGAACTGCAACCCCATCATTAATGATATTTTTATTCAAAGTTATCTTTAGTCTTATTAAAGTAATATATATTAATGACTTTGAAAGTCATGTATTACTACATAGTATTTGATGAAAACCAGAAATTTCCACATTCTCTATACAGTACTTCTCGCTTCCTATAATACTTCTCATAGTTACTTTTAACAGTTTTTAGTATTTCTCCTCATATTTTATCATGTTCTGATTGCTATTCTTAATTTTTTTCCTGCTTGATATAGAATCTGTTGATTTTCTTAGGGAAGATGCAGGTTCAAGTCTTTTACTACCTCAGATTTCCTTCCATAGACATGTACATGCATACAAAATAATTTCTTTCATTTACCTATTTCTCCTCTCCCATTCTTCTTCTATCTGCAGAAACATTTCACATTAAGTCAGTAATTTACATTTACCTTGTAATGAACAGACAGAAACAGGTAAGATTATGGATACATTTCTTTTCTTGTATAATCTTTTGTCCTATAAGACTTCGTCAATTTTACATCTTCCTCTTCCTTGACTTTGTTCCCTTAGTTTGATGAAACATTCTTCCTTAACTTCCAGAGAAAGTATTGTATTCGAGGCACCATTTTTAAAAGTTGGAATAACTGGAAATAATTTATCTTACACTCCTGATAGTTTGGTTCAGTATGGATTTCTAGACTGGAAATCTCTCTTCCTTCTGAATTTTGAAGGTGTTGTTCACTGACTTCTAGCTTTGCAATGCAATTTAGAAGTCTTAATCATTCTAACCCCTGTTATTACTATTTTTTATTATCCATTGTCTTTTAGTATCTGAAAATTGTACAATAATGTACCTTAATGGGTCCATTTTCATTTTTATCCATTGCGGTGGGCCCTTTTTCCTCTTATTCAATCTGGAAACTGCGGTTCTTTAGGAGTTAGAAGTTTTTATACATTATTTCTTCAAAAAAATTATTTTTCTTTCTTTTCTGTAGTTGAACATATATATCTCCTGTATTGACCCTCTGATTTTCTTGTTCTCTCATTTTCCATGTCTCTAAAAAAGTCTTCTCTGTACTGTCTTCAACAAATCTTTCCATTCTTTGGAGTTTCCTATTTTGGCTAGCATATGACAATACTTTTCCTCATTTGGAACACTCGTATTTCCAGATTTAAAAGAATTCATTCCTCTCCCTAAGTCTCCACTTCCTTCTCTTCCTCTTCCACCTCTTCCTCCTCTTCCTTTATTTTCTCCTACTTTTTTGTTCTGCTTTCTTGTTGCTGTATTGCCCAGGTCCAGTCATACTCAAGAAGGACACACTCTACTCTGGGATGCTGAGGCATCAAGGATCCCAAGTTGAAGCTCAGCCTGGGTAACTTAGTAGGATCCTGTCTCAGAATTAAAATCAAAGAACAAAGCTGAGGATGTAGCTCAGTG